CTCGGGAATTAGTAAAGATGGGAAGCTGAAATTTTCAGGGAATGTTCCCAATCCACTTACGGCTTATAGTTGTCGAATTCAGCCCCCGGGCGTGCGTGGTTCTGGCACACGGGCACTTAAATTTTTGGCGGGAAACTACCAATTGAACGGCTGGGTCATTTTCAAAAAACGACCGCTAAACGGATATTGTTTATTCTTTTTATGCAAAATTTACGGTGAGTTACTGTACTGAGAGCACAAGGCAGATGTAAAAAAACAATAACTCATGCAGTTAACCTAATTATTTCAGGTCTGGTGCAAAAACGCATGATCGCATCGGCTCGCCTGGTGCTTTCCAGTCTGGGTTTGAAAATAACCCAGCTGTTCAATGAGTAATTTTCCCGCCAGAAATTTATTTGCCCGCACACGAGGATTACGCGTAAATGAAAACGGAATTTGAAGATTTAAGTTTTATTTGAACGGGGAATATTCCCCAAGAATCTGAGCCTTCCAACTTTTCTGGTTCTCGAGTTAGCAATTTTCCCATCAAAACTTTCACAGGACCGCACGTGACCTAGAAGCATACCTGGAGGCTGAGTTCGGAATTTTTAAGTTGTATGCAGACGGAGAACATCCCTTTAAAATTTCAGCCTTCCAGCTTTTCTAGTTCCCGAGTTAGTCATTTACCCGCCAAGAAAATTTAACGGGGCCGTACGTGAGAACCACGTGTAACTGGGGATTGAATTTGATAAATTTAAGTCGTATATGGGCTGGGAACATTTCCTGAAAATTTCAGCCTTCCAGCATGATAAATTTAAGTCGTATATGGGCTGGGAACATTTCCTGAAAATTTCAGCCTTCCAGCTTTTCTGATATCCGAATTAGTAATTTTTCCCCTAAAACTTTCATACGCCCTTACGTGAGTATCGCGCATACCTGAGGGCTGGATCTGAAATATTTAAGTTGTGCTTGGACAGGAAATATTCCTGTAAAATTTCAGCCTTCCAGCATTCCTGGTTGTCGAATCAGCAATTTTCCCCCTAAAACTTTCATGTGCTCTTACTTGGGTACCACGCATACCTGGAGGCTGAATTTGGAATCTTTAGCCACTACATGCACAGGGAATATCTCTACAAAGTTTCAACCCTTTAGCTCGTGTGGTTCCCAAGACCGCTCTTCCGCCAAAAAATTTACATATTTTTTTAAGGGGCCCGTACACGGCGCCCAGGCGTCCACGGGGAATGATATTAAAGAGGGAGGGTTGCGCATGACACGGGCACATACTCCCAAAGTTTCAGCTTTCTATCTCTTCCCGTTATCAATTTTCCCGCCAAAACTTTCACCCCCTCATACACGGGCCCAGACGTGCGTGAGGGATAATTTG